GGGATGCATTCGGATTTGGTTATATCCCGAATAGGCGTCAAGGAAAGAGAGGACCTTATGACCCGATGCACCATCAACCAACCGATCAATGTTCGGGAGTGGGTAAGCATCTTTTGGGCATGCCTTGTTGAGATTCGTATAGTCAGTGCACATTCTCCACTTGCCGTTTGGCTTTTTTACCATGACTACATTTGCCAACCACGTAGTGTACTGAACTTCCCGGATAAACCTGGCCTCAAGTAACTTTGTCACTTCAGTTTCAACTGCCACCTTTCGATCGGTTCCCATTTTTCTTTTGCGTTGAGCAACCGGTCGTGCTTCTGCACATATTGACAATTTGTGACACATAACACTCGGATCTATGCCAGGCATGTCGGATGGTGTCCATGCAAACAGGTCCTTGTTCCGATTGATCACAAGGCTCAAGGCTGAGTGATCTTCCTCGGTCATATCGGCGCCGATGTATGTGACTTGGGTTGGAAGTATGTCGAGTTGTAGCTGGATCTTCTCATCAATCGGTTCGACGCGCTCTTCGTCATTCATTCTCGGATCGAGATCCCAGGCCTCAGATTCGCTTGATGCCGAAGGGGTTACAGCATGAACTCTCTTGGATTTTTGTTGCTTTTCTTCTACGGGAGATACGCGTAGACTAGCAAAATAGCATTCTCGAGCCGCCTTTTGGAATGACCGAACCAAAATATCTGTAATTTTTCTCTTAAAAAATTAGCCTCGTGAAGATTACCACGTAGCATGTCGACAAAGTAACTGATAGTGAAATGTCAAAGCAAGTGGTTATCTTTGCTGATAGGACTTGGGCATCTATTTCTTGGTGCTAATCTGCACAAGCACATGTAAAATCCACATCTCCACGGTCTATCTTTTTGTCTGCTTCATCTTTTTAGAGGAATTCTCTTTGCGCATCAGGAACATGGAAGGGTACTTCATTCTTTATGTTTTAAATAATTATTATAAGAAATGCAAAATAAAAGACCCTATATGATATAGTTACCACCTATCTACGAATAAATATCACATACATGTGCAATTTGCATTCAGGAAAGCATAAAGCATTTACTGCTTAGTAGACTGCTATTACCAACTTTTATAACAAAGGGAAGAATGTAGGTAGCTCACTTAATTTATTGTTGCAGATCAAGCTGGCATCTGTAAAATTGGCTATGAAATATATGAAGAGAGTCTCTGCTGAGCTTGAGACAGGTGGTGGTGGGCCTGAAGAAGAAGAGCTTATAGTTCAAGGAGTGAGATTTGCATTCCGAGTACATCAGGTAAATTATTTTCCAACATGTTTGAACAATAATAGTACAAAATTTTGACGCCTATGGTAACAATGAGCTGTTATGTGTGGCAGTTTGCTGGAGGGTTTGATGTGGATACAATGAGGGCATTTCAAGAATTGAGAGACAAAGCGAGGTCATGCCACGTTCAATGTCACAATCAGCCACAGAAATTATATTGCAGGTCTGCAACATGCTAATGCTGGAGCAAACTCAGCTTCGGAGAATTAGTTAAGCCCTTTTTCTGTATTTTGTGAATAGAATGGCAAATAGTATTAGCCATCGTTAAAGTAGTAGAACGCATTCATAATTCATGATTAATTCTTCCATTCATTACTGGAAAAACAAGAATCCGGTTCCACTCTAGCACTTGTTGCTATTCCGAATTCACTGGAAGTGCACTTCTCTGATCATAAATTAGTTCCTGGGAAACAAGACAGTAATGCAAATTTGTTTCCACTTTGGTACATGCTAAATCGAATTTGTTGAAAAATTCGCTTCTCTAACCAAATTCTGCTATTTATTGTTTTTCTGGTTGCTTATTCCGTTCATATCATTAGCTGAAATGAATTTGTTAACATTTTATTTATTTACTTCTCCGTTCAAGTGCACAGACATGTTTGATTCTAGGCGTTATCGTTTACAAACAGTAAATTTTTTTTATGAAACCCTAAGTTAGAAATTTTAATATGTCAAATACCAAAATTAAATCAACCACTTAACAGATTGAGCCTATTTTAGTTTTCTTGCAAATTTTGTGTAGGACAGTAATTTTTTATGGAGAAGCAAAAAGGGCTTAAGCCGCCAATAAAGTAAAATTACACGAGAAGCAAAGCAACTGAGAACATAGATATTTAAACTCCTTTCTTGGTACCAAAAAGTTGAGCAGCATCGGAAAATGATTGAGTTATTATTATTATTATTATTATTATTATTATTGTTATTATTATTATTATTTTAAGTATATTAACAGGTAATCGATGATTTGTCAGTGTGTATGGACAAGACATTATTAAGAGAGGCATACGGACAAAATTTTATCGGAAGAAACAAAACTCACCTTTGATGATCTCAATGCCTTAGAAAAAAGGTGAATTCTATGAAAGACCACTTTCACAAGTGGTCCATGGGTGCATCATCAATTTTCACTCTTAGATGCATCTAAACTAGTAGACCATAATACACAAGCTACACTGGATCTAAATTTTTGATTTTTTTACTGATTCTTTTTTTAAATTACCCAAAAAAAAAAAACACGTGGCAACAGACGCAGTTGCTACTGACACTCGGAACGGGCCGTTCTGAAATCAGAACAGGCCGTTCCAAATGAACAAATAACACATAAATATTGGACCAGAACGGGCCGTTCCAGATGACAAAAAAACACATGACGAATGGAACGGAACGGCCCGTTCCAACATCAGAACGGCCCGTTCCGAATTCAAAAATGACACATCAATAATTAAATCAGAACGGGCCGTTCTGAAAACGGAACGGCCCGTTCTAACTACAAATTTGTCACACGAATTTTTTAAAGCAAAATAATATATTTTTTTCCATTCTACTAAATTACATCTACACCCTAAGCCCTAAACCCAAAAAATCTTATACTAAGGTCCATAATACAAGACCAAACAATATAAACTCTTGTACTACCAAATATATAAGAAAAGTGGTCATCCACTAAGGCTCATAATACAAGACCAAACATTATAAACTCCTATACTACCAAATATATGAGAAAGGCGGTCATCCATGTAAAGTCCAAGTAAAGAGAACCTTAGGCCCACCAAAC